TTTGGATAAAAGTACTATGCAATGATTGTATAGTATGTCAACTAAATAAACCTTACCCAAATCAAAAACAAATAGCACAAAAACAAGATTTTAAAGGACAAAGTTTGTACTTTAATCATCGTATCTCATTTGATACCAAAGGACCAATTTCACCCTCATCCGAAGGAAACTCCTACATTATGGTAATTGTTGACGCATTTACACATTATGTAGCACTTAACCCAGTACCACATTGTAACGCTTATTACGCTTACACAACACTCTATGAACACTGGATAGCAAAATTCGGACTACCAGAAATTTTAGTTACAGACAACGGTACAGAATTCATAAATAATGAAATTATCACACTATGTCATTTATATAACATTAAACACAAACCACGTACATCTCATGCACCTTGGACAAACGGCTTAGTCGAAGGTATGAACCGTTCATTACAAGAATATCTTAGATGTATCATCAACGGAAATGATACAAAATATACCGAATGGTCAGCAGATGTAAAATTATTTCCCTTAGCATATAATTCACAAATTACGACAACTTTAGGAATGTCACCATACGAAATGGTTTTTAACCAAAAGCCACGCAAACCAATAATGTTTACAGCAAATTCTCATAAAAACGCACAAGGTTATTGTCAACCAAATAAAGACTCAATTTGTTATAACCTACCTTTACATACACACGATGAAGATCATTTTCATCACCCACAAATTCTTAAACTAGCCTCCGGTACACACACCGAATGGATTCTAAATAGAGATAAAAAACACAATGAAATTTATCAAAAAATAACAAAAAAGTTATTACAAAGACAAAACATTAATGAACAAATCAATTCACGTTTTACACCAGCCTCCGAATTAAAAATTGGAACATTTGTTTTAATACCTAATTTTAATACTCAAAAGGGAATTTCTAAAAAATTACAACCCCTTCGAAAAGGACCATACCAAATAATTGCAAGACCCACTGAGGTCACATATAAAATTACCGACTCAAACAAAAAAGAAATCGTTCAACATCGAAACAACCTATTACCTTATTACCCAAAAGAATACGCACTCCGCGAATTAACTCAATTATATTCTTTCACAGGATTAAAAATCATTCAAAATGAACCACATCTGAAAAACACAGAACAAAATGATAACCCCACCGAAAATCAAAACACAAAACCAACCGCCACCAAAAACAATACACAAAACCATAAAGAATCCCCAAAACAAAGAAAAAATAGAAAAATGACCGAACAAATAATACCCCAAGAACAGATCGACAAATCAGAAAATCGAAAAACAACAAGACTCCGAAATCAACCACGTAAAAACTATAAAATATTCATCCCCCAATCTAAAATTTTAAAGAAAGTGGAATTTCAAAAGTAATTTTAACATTATACTTCACAACCTTGAAACCTCCGAAACATTTTTCATTTACATTTTTCAAAATAACATGCTGACAAGTACGCAATAATTCTAGTTCAAAATAGACCAATAGGATTCATCCAATCCGTCACTTTCTCTAACTCAAACTAAGACCAATTAGACGAATCATATAGAACTCCAGGCACATCTATAACTATAACTTTACGACCTCCAGGTCAAAAATAAGCAAACCACTCCAACTTGACAACTAAAATAAATATCACCATAATACCATACCCCTCCCTTATCTAATAACCCAAAGATCAACAATATTTCCCCAACTCAGACCACGAATACCCCCAAAACAAATTTGTTAACTTAGCCTAAAGTAACAAAATGAACATTTTAATTAGCCTAAAGTATAAAAATCTCACCATACCCCGGATCATTTGACAAACAAAAATAAAGAAAAAGACGACCTCCCGATCACCATGAAAATTGCCCCCAACAATTTTTTACAAAACTCAACCCACTTGTCAAAAAACTAATAAATAATCCGACCACACTTGAAAATCGCCTCAAACAGCAAAAAATATTCGACCAAGAGATCATTTCTTAAATGCTCTTCTCTCAATCAGTTACTCAAATACTCATAAATCTTAAACATTTTTTTACAATACTTGAAACCTTTATAATATTTCTTTTTGATATACTTGAATCTTTTCTAATAATCCTAATCATTTTTTGTAACATTTTTTTAATTTTCTACACTATTCTCGAACTATTCCTCCAACTTTCCAAAACCCTTGATTATATCCACAGGTACGATTTATACAACTTGTCTAAATGATACGAACAATTTTCAGTAGAACTGATATTTTTTTATTGTTTGTAATTTTCATAACATTTTTATCATCCCTCATTTTGACAATATGCAAATGTATAAAGAAAGCAATTATCACATTTGCCCTAGCAACAATTTTTCTAATTATTTTTTTGGAAGAATATTATAATAAACATAAACCTTCCCACTAAAGTAACAATTCAAAAATCCATCAAAAATTGCTACCCAACAGTCACAGAATCAGTCTTCACCGACATCATCCCAAGATAACCCAACACCACCTTCAACTACTCAAAATCCTCAAACATCTACACGAATTTCTTTTCAAGACAATCCATACACTTTTGAAGAACGACATGCTCGTTTATCAGAACCACTAGAACCAGTTCAACGACAAGCACCTCTCAGCGAACCAACATATAACCTATACCCAACACTACCACAAGAACTAAGTAGAATAAGAAATCCTAGTCAAAACCAAAATACAGTCGAAATAAATAGACAAATTATACATCCTCGACGAAACAGAAATTTTCAAACTCCCCGAGTTCATTTTGATATACCTCAATCCCCATCACAAAACACTCCAGAAAACCCCATTGGTATATTACCAGAAACCCCTACGCTTCTTTCACAACGTAGCACCTCAAGCCTACCATCAGATTACTTAGGTTCAACACCAACATCTGAACAAATACGTGAAAATCCCTTTAACCCCCCAAACCAGGCATCACGACTACCATATTGGACAACACATTCATTTACACAAGGTGAATTAAATTTAGTCAATAATCCAATAGATATTTCTACGGATACAAAAACATCCTCATCACTACCAGAAACATTATCACTACCATCAACACCATCAATAAGCCAGATTTCACCACCACCTTTTAACTTAAATTTTCCAAATAATCTCGACGCCAGATATCGAGAACAATCATCAATAAATATTCCTTTAAGACTAGATTGGAATACATTTACAGCACCTCCACCATTATTTGGACAACATCAAGAAAGTAACCGCCTTCATAACTGGGCACTTAATAGATTACAATATCGCCAAGATATTCACAACGATATCCGTGATCACAATATTCAAATACTCCAACAAAACAGTTTACAATTAAAGTTTGAAATCACAGTTAAGTTAAACAATATTACCCAACATCCCTACCCATTAAACCCACCTAACATAACAGCTCAATCACTACCACCACCGTTTATAACTACTGAAGTAATATACAAATACGACAGATATACCAAAAACACAATTGGCTACATTACATTTTATAATCCATACTCAGGATTATCATACACATGTATATTCTAAAATTATTAATTTTTCTCCAACTCCTTTTTCTAGTAATCTCAAATCAAAACATAAACCCTTCCCCTCGTACAGGACCACAAGATTTATTAGTAACACATTACGATTGTGAAGAAAATGAACAAAAAACACTACACAAATATGCAATAAATCAAGTATCACAATGTGAAACAGAACCACAAACTATAGAAACCACAAATGTAATAGCAACACTCTATTCAAAAGCCCGAGCAACAACAGTTACAGGTTATAAATTAACAGCAACATTTTCCGAAAAGAAAGTACATTGTTCACAAGTCTCGAACGGAAACAAAAACCGACTTGACCATGAATCATTCTATCAGAGTAATATAGAACGTCTTTTACATCTCAATCCCGACGATTGTAAAAATGAATTACTTAGACTAAACATCACACAAAATAAAAACTCCGAAAGAAAGTTAGTTAACTTTCAAGTTTTTTCAGACTCTGTACATCAATCACAACTTGAAAGACACCAAGGACATATAAAACTAGACGAAAAATACCCGTATAACGGCGCACACGGACGATTAACCTATGACCTACACGATAAACATTGGATACCACACATTGGTATAAATAACCCATCAAACTGCAAAGCAGACACAAAAAATAAAGGATACCAAGAAATAATGTTTTTCGATTGGAAAATACAACTCGAAAAAATACAACTAACACGAGATTTATCAGATAATACAATGATCTATCAAGGAATCCGATTACCTTGTAAAAATGATCAAGGTTATTGCGACCCTACAACGAGAACACAAGCAACAATTGTTTGGTTCCCCGAAGATACATGTACAACATTTCAAGTAGCAAGAATACACGCTCGTATGATAAAATTTCACGAAAAATACTTTATACAATCAATTCCATATGAACAAGTACATCCATCACGAAAACAAAGTACTAATTTTAGAAACATACACAATATAGAAAATAAATTGACACGTTTTCAAATATATCAAGAAACAGAACTTGCATGTAAATACAGGAATCCACTTCACAGAACACAATACTCTGAAATATTAGTTGAATACGAAAAAGGATTCGACATGACCACTGGAAAAATAAAACTTGACCCATATGCCACAGGTCATCCTCCAAACGAAGGAACATCCTATATACCAGTTAATTTTGAAAAAAGCAACGGACAACCTGGTGGACATCTAAAACCCCATGACACCAGAAGCACACGCTTACAAGAATTATCACTAATGAATACTACATATTTCGGTAATATCCACTATGATATTCATTTAGATATGAAACTAGATTATACAATTAGCCGAATTTTTCAAGAAATGTCACTCTCCGAATTAGAAACACTACACCAACTATGCGAATTAGAACGAACACAAATATTACAATCACTTGCACTAGCAGTATTAAAAATACCCTATGCAGGATACTTATTATCTGGAAATAGATCAAATTTTTTAGACTATGAAGGAAACATCTTATGGTTTTACACTTGTACTAAAAAAGTATCACCACTATACGTTTTTGAAGATAAACGATGTTATAAAAGAATCCCTATCTTTTATAAGAATAAAGTACATTTCGTGGATACACTTTCACGAAGAACCTATTTCTGGGATACCGCAGTCCCATGTGGATCAGAAAACAGCCACAATGTAGTACAACTAAACCCTGATGAAAATAAATATTATCTTCTCACTCCATATCCCACATTAATGCAATCACTCAAAAAATTTTCACCAGAAAGCATTCGCGCTATTGCTCGAAACCCAAATATAGACTTACAATCAATACGAATCTATTCAAAATCAGATATTCAACATCACATTAGAACACAACAATTCCAAGAATTATTAACACAAATGGACACTATACAAAGACAATCAATAGACCAAAATTTACGCAAACTTGCGGAAACCGCAGGATTTGCCGATATCTACACGCAAGACTATAGCGGATATTTTAAAGACATTAAAGATTATATATATCTAAACGGTGAAAAATACCGTCCCCAAGATATATCACCAATTAACATTTTTAGCTTTGTTACACTCAAAAATGAGATCCTCGATTTTCTAGGATGGCCCTACTACATCTTAGAAAAATTGACTATTTTATACGCAATGTTTAACTTTATTGGATTTCTTTTCTCACTTTTAAAAGGAATCTACAACACATGTGCTATACACACACAAGTAAACAGACAAGCAAGCGTAGCACGCATACTCTTTGCAGGATTTTTTGGAATCTTTTCTACATCTATAAACAAAATTCTTTTAGACGCACAAATAAAAGAATATAACACAAAAATAGCAACACGACAAAATACATACGACGAAGAACATAACAATGTAGACATAACGCCAACGGCACCACAATTACCACCCCTACCAAATAACCATCCACTATCCCTAGTCCCACGAAATTTTCGAAATTTAGCCATCACACATAATCCAAATTTTCGACTCACCACATCACAAAGTCCCATCCAACATATAATGACACACCAGTCACAAGATCATAATACTTATGAACAAATTATTGAACAACCCCATACCACCGCTTTTCAGTCTCAAAATAATCATTTTTTTAGCCCACGATGAGCCGCCAACTTGGATCACTACACCGATCAAATTCCCACCCAACCAATCTTACCTCTCCAATCCCAATAATACCACTTTTTGCTTTTCCGCCACCCGATTTTCCATCTAGTAATGTAACATCAGGCATGAATTCCGACACTAATTCACACATCTCAGTTTTATATTCCATCTCACAACTCAATAACCCGAATATTGAAACCCCCGATGAATTTGCCGACTCAGAACCATCCCCATCCAATAATTTTCATAACTCTTCTAATTTTTCTCAACCCCCTTTTCAACCCATATTATCCAATAACCCTGACCCAATCACTTCCACACCCTCTTATGCTTCCCAAGTTACCCCAACCTACTCCTCACTTCATTCTGACCAATCATCTCATTCTCCAGACACCCCCCGAATCTCCCCAGAGCTAGATAATTTTATTACCCTTCAACAACAACCCTACCACCTCCATACCCCAACAATAAACCAAATCTCCTCCACAATAAATTCATCCAACCCCCCTACCCCTACACCCTCTTCAAATTATACTGAATCATTAGCACCATCATCCACATCAACTGAATCTTCACTCAACACTAATAGAGCTTACCGCACTTTTAAAAGAAAGTTCCCCCACCATCCTTTCCCAGCAAAACCAGGAACAGCCCGTGAATACATCAACCACCCCAAGCATACTAACACAAAAGAATTTTTAGCCATCACCTTACCCTCATTCCCACAATACACCTTAAACACCCCCCACGACACTAACGAAACACGCAACTTTGTAGATGAATACGTTTTAATGCCCACTCTCTCTTGGACCTCATATTATCATTTTACTAACCCTCTTTGCTTACCTTTATCTAACACTCACATCGATATAGAGCGAAATACGGACATGCTATATCGACTCACTACACCACTAACCGCTAGACAATTTACTTACGTTGGATATAAAAAATCACTAAAAACACACACTGCACCTAGAGCTAACGAATATACACTCGAATACTATGATCACAACATCATCAGAGCTAACCAAGATCAATTCTTAGACGACGATCGCTTCGCTAATCCACAAATTACCGAAAAATTTTTCATCAAGACACCATATATATTTACACTAAACATCTTCGACCGAAAGTTTGATCACATTATTTCAGAAGCACTAACAGACACACAAGCATACGAAAGTTTTAAAGAACGCTTCCAAATATTTTCACTAACCTTTCATTTCCTTACACCACACGAAAGAGATTTACACTGCTCACACGATATTATGTTGCGCACTAAACAAACCCACACATATAGTTATTATCGCTTCATCCAAAATCACTTTGACCTACACACACCCTCTAGACAACCACACCATCGTTTTCAATTCATTAATTCCAAATACACTTCACCATTTTTCCTAAATTTCACATATTGCATTAAAGATACTAACCTTCATGGTATTCTTCGCAATTATGATCCCATAACCCAAATGTACATCTTCTGTCCCATCACCAAGACCTTCAACGCCGAAGAATCCCGACCCTTCCTTATCCCGCACGAGTTTGTACAACCTATAGAAATCCCAATTTTAGAATTCATCCACAACACTAAATTCAATCACAAATTATATAATCTAATCCAAAACACACCTTATGAGTTTGCAGTTGGCACTGAAGAACTAACCACTATTAAGGCACTTCAATTGCTTTGGCCACTGCTTCAGACTAAAAATATCATCCGCATCTTAGCTAAACTACTAACAAATTCCGATCTCATCCACGACATCTTCCCCCACGGTTTTTTCCCCGACGACTAACAGGTAAGTATGAATTAAATGAATATTACTAACTAATTAAAATATTAAAAAACTCACCATACTTTATCCATGTTTTCTTTAGATTTTTAGCCTTCATCCGACAATTGCCTACAAAAACCTCAAAAGACAAATAAAAATCGCAAACTTCATCAAACAGATTTCAAAAATTCTATTAATCTCTTACACTTATAAATTTATAAATTTAATACCAATGCAGTAAATTCATTTCTAAAATTTTCCCCACAAGCAGTAAATCTAATTATGATGAAAATTTGTAACTTAAAATTCCCCCATAACTAGCAGTAAATTTCCAAATTCTATGCAGTAAATTAATAAAATGCAAATGCAGTACTAACCTTTTGATATTCTCATTCATTCGCACAGAAATTCTATCCACACTCGCACAGCTCGCCCACGAAGAATTGTTTAAAATAATGAATTTCAGTTTCAAGTTTTCACACTCAACAACTCTAACATATAATAACATGTTTCAAACCTTCCTTTAACCCGGTTGGAAAGGAATCATATACTAAACAAAACTAACCAACGCAGCTTACTAAATACCACAAATCATAGAATAACAGCATGACTAAGAAAAGGAAACCAACGGTACCCAAACCGGATTAACCCAGTTTAAAACTGGATAATTTATTCTTTTGAAGACTATTATAAAGTCTAAGAAAGAAATAATAAAACACAAAAAAGTCGAAAGACAAACCCATACCACGAACAATTTGCTTTTTGGAAAAAGGACATAACCAACAAGACATAAGAAAAACCACAACAAACCCAACACTCCTGGCAACATACTCCCACTCCTGGCCTAACCCACCAGGAAGGACGTCCTGAGCATGCTCTATAGCCGGCCTAACCCACCGCGCTACATCCACGCTTTGTGACCACACCTCTATTTTTAATAAGAGCTACTCAAGGGTGAGTAACTCTTCAAAATAACCGAACTAAAACAAAAAGCTTTTGTGAAAACAACTAACTAAAATCATAATTAAAAAATATTAAACTAATAAATGTTTTATAAAATGTAAATTACATTATGCAATACATAGATCAGAATATAACACCAAGGACGAACATCTAAAGACAAAACGACCCCACTACACTCGAGAGAGAATGGCCAACCACAATCGATATGCCACTCACAATCACAACTCAAAGGATTTAGAGTACGACTTGACTTCGCAGAAAAGGACTTCATTGAACTAGACCAATGACCACCTCGATGTTCAAGTATACGTACAGATCCGAGTAACCAGGCATCGCCTCCACGCACAATCTCCACGCCATTCCCAAACTAGATCAGACACAAAAGAAGTTCTCCACGCAGAACAGAAAAACCTGACATAGCCAACCATTCTGAAATCAGATTTGAGTTTGTTGCAAAGACTTAGTCGTTGTCACTAGAAGACACAACGTCTTATGTCTCTAACTCCAGCTTCCTGGAACTTCTTTAACAAAGAGGAAACGGAAGAAAATGATGTTCGCCAAAAACCAACGTCCATCATCCATCCTTCGAATCGCAGAAGAACTATTCTAAAAAACTCTGTAAAACCCGGATGGGTGGAACCTGATCTAAACTACATTTTATGATTGGATAAATTAGATATTTTACCAATGTAAAGTATTTAATATTAACCAATCATGATCCATCTAACTAACAACCCACTTATTTGTAAGTGCTGAAGTTACTTGTAATTTCAGCACCAGAGAGATTTGAATTTAACTTAGAAATTAGTTGGACTCTCCCGAGCACTTCAGCAGCCGCAATAAACCAGTATACCCTAGATCTATTGAGCCTAGCAGAGACTAGTTAAACAACCTGAGACTAGATAGTATAAGAGTAAGATTAGGATCGGTATTAGACTAAGAAGTTGCACGAATCTATCCGGCCGAAAATAAGATAGCGTGACGAGCAGACGGTGTACCCTATCCGAAATTACTCTATGAGTTATACACTCCAGTCCTAACTCAATAGCAATCTTACCGGAGTGGCACTAGTATCAAAGCCATAGTGAGACAAAACTGAAAACTA